CGGGCACCAGTGGGGGGGGGCAATTTCAGTTTCCTCATTTACTAGAAAACTGCAATTACCCTTTAATTTGGGGGGCAACACACTTGCATGCACCTCAGATGGCGACCAGTTAACTTTTAACTAATGGACTGCTGAAGTTATATACAGATATTCAGCATTGACTCCACCCATTTCTCCTGAGCTTGCCTATTGGTCTTTTAATAAAATGAGCAGCTTCACTAACCAATAGGAAGTCTCAGAAGATGGAAGCGGTTGACCGAACTCAGCTTTTGTAGAAAATTTGAATAATTGAGCGGGGGACTTTGATCTATGAAACAAGTTGTCAGCTCATATTTTTGTCCTGACAAGTTTGTTTTATTCATTGGTTTAAACCCCCCAGTGCCCATCATGCAGCCTGAAGGACACGTGGCCCTTTGGCGTTTGCAGTGCGGCCCTTGGGCCCCAGAAATCTGTAGTTTTTGATTTGTAAAGAGCCTGTAAGATCAGTAATCTCTAGTGGTCTCATGAAACATGTCCCCCGTCTCTGATTTGTCTCCTCCAGCGTGACTTCATTCCCCAACCCCTCCTGTAAAACTATCTCTGACCATTTCCTTCAATCTATGACGGTCTTCTGTAGTGTTGAATAATATATGTGGCCCTTTGGTGACATCAAGGGCCACATTTAAGGCCACTTTTCAGTTGCATTAGTGAAATAAATGAACTTTTGCACCATATTCTAATTATTCGAGTTTCACCTGTATATGGTAGGTTGACATCCACTGGTATTATTGGACTGCAGGTTGAAGCTTACTTGTTTGTTCCCAGTTCTAAACCTTGTGTGTGGGTTTTTTTGTGTTCTCTGGCAGTTGGTTCACATCTTCGCACACGAGCCGGCGCACTTCCCTCCGATCAAAGCACTTTTCCTGCTGGTCACGTCGACGACTCTGTCCCTGTTTCAGCAAGGTTAGTTCACACCGGAGCTGTGTACGGTGTAACCACTTCCTGTCTCTATTCCAGGATTCTGCCAGGACCGAACCGCTCTCATCTCATAGGGGTGTTGGAGGTTGAAACGTGGTTGTGTAGCCGTGCTTATAATAATAATAAAATAATATATAGAATAGAAGAAGCAGATGTTACTCTTCAAGATAATACAGTGGTATATGGTCTGTAACTGTCACTCTTGCTGGACAGCTTGGCCCGCATGTACAGTAAATGTGGAGAATAATCTAAATGGAGGTATGTGAAACAAACAAAAGGAATCATATACCGAAAAGTAACATACCAACCACATACAGAATACAAGGTCTTTGTCACGATCTTGGATCAGGCTCAGAGTCCAGTAGCTGAAGCAGCAGGCAATTTGTTGTATAACAGGCCGGGTTCGGTACACAAGCAGACGTAATAGTGGAGGAGCAGGCAGAATAGGGTTGCCACCTGTCCAGGATTCACCCGGACAGTCCGGGTTTTGAATGCTGTGTTCGGGTTTCATGGCAGCAGAAACCCGGACACAAGATGTCAGGCAGACAGTGGCAACCAAAATTATGATAGGGGCTACTGGCCCCCCGCTGAAAATAGTCCCAAGTGGGATATTTACACATGAATGGTTGGAGCTATTTCTATATGAATAAGAATTATCCCCCAAAAAAATGTTTGCGCGTTGCTAGAGTGTTCGGGTTTTGCTTAAGAAAAGGTGGCAACCCTAAGGCAGAAGCGTAGTCAGCGAACAAGCCAAGGTCAGGAGCCAAAGGTATCGGGTATGAAGCGGAAGATGATGAGAGTAGTCGGTGAATCAGCAGCCAAAGGTCAGTACACGGGTAGCAGTATGACAGGATTGTATCACAGAGGGAGCAGGAAGCAAGATATTGGCAGGAGCACAATAATCTGGCAAACAGGAAGTGCAGAGGCGTGAGTTAAATAAGAAGGGCAAGGGAGGAGCAAGGCGTTCAGCAGAAACTAGGTTTACATGAGGATTACACAGGAGGTCAGGCAAGGAGCTATCCGAGCTTCTAAGGTGGCTCAGCAGGTAGAGCTACAGCAGATGTCCTGGGTTCAGATCCGGTTCCAGGACAGTCTTAGTGGTCCTTTAATCCCTTCCCGCTGGCCTTATGTATATATGCGGCAGCATAGAAGTTGGCCTCATTCTGTCCTGCCGCATGTATGTGTTGTGCTGGGAGCATGCTTGATTGCACATCCGCAGCACAGAGACCACGCTGTAGGACAGGCTCCCGATCATGTGAGCACTGTGACAGCCAAGCGCAGTGATCACATGATCGGGAAAGCCATGTAACACCTCTGGGCTGGTGGGAAGGGGTTCATATTAAGCCCTGTGCAGGACAATGTTCCTGGAAAACACGCCATGAATAAATAGATGAATGCAGAAAATATCAGGATTACTGTCTGGTGTAAATAGTCACATCTGAGGATTCCAGTTGCAAAGTGTTTTTTTTATTTTCAATGTTCCGGTTTGTTGGGTGCTGTAAGAATGATGCTAAAAATCCTGCCGCTCTGTATTGAGGCACATGTGAGAGGACTGTGAAGCAGAACTCCAGATACAATGTTAAAGTCAGCTCTCCGATTCCTTCCTGTGTGTGCCCATTATCTCTTTTATTTGTGGCTGGAGTTCTACTTTAATTCTCTTACAAGGAAATGATTCATTGTTGCTGAGAAAGAGAACTCATAAACAAGTAAGAGGGAATACATGTGCAATATACACAGCATACGTATACCACATATAGTCCAAGTACAAAGCGTCCTTGGCAGATAAATGAGCGGTTTGTTTAGCAAAGCTTCCCATGGATTGTACTTCAGATTACGGTGTAAGGGTCCATTTACACTAGCTGCACGCTGATATGACCAGTGTTAGTGTCTGCTGGGTGCCGGCGCTGCCTTGCGTTTATTATGTTTAACTCGCCCAATGCTTCGATACCTTCCCCGATACCAGAACTTCCAGTCAGGAAAATTTCCTCTGACCAGCAGTGCCGTAGGGGAACATGGAGCCGGTTTCCTGGGCAAGCAGGAAGCCGGGTGGTGAGTAATGACCCGGCTTCCTGATTGGCCAGGGAGCCGGCTCCTTGTCGAACAGCCGACTCCTTGCTGATTCTCTGAGAAGCCGGCTTCCCGGCCAATCAGCTTCGAGCTGGGCCTGAACAGCCGGCTCCTTGTTGATTTGGCTGGGAAGCCAGCTTTTCAGCCAATCAGCGTGGAGCCGGCTTCCCGGCCAATCAGGAGGTCCAGGAGGCGGGTCATTACTCGCCATCTGGCTTCCTTATCGGCCGGGAAGCCGGTTTCCCGGACAATCAACATCGAGCCGGCCGAACAGCTGGCTCCTTGTTGATTGGCTGGGAAGCCGGCTTTCCAGCCAATTGGCATGGAGCAGGCTTACCAGCTGATACCAGAACTTCCAGTCGGCGGAAAATTTCCTCTGGCCAGCAGTGCCGTAGGGGATCACGGAGCCGACTTACCAGCCAATCAGGGAGGCGGGTCATTATTCGCCACCTGGCTTTCATGATTGGCTGGTTTCCCGGCCAAACAAACATGGAGCTGGCTTCCCAGGCAATCAGGAAGCTAGGCAGCATGTCATTACATGCCGCCCGGCTACCTGATTGCCCGTGAAGCCGACTCTATGCCAGCGGAAGCACGGGTATCGGCGAGTACCAAAAGCAAAATATCGTTACTCGATACCGAAAATCTGGTATTGGTGCATCCCTACTATATGCCCTCGTTGTGACATGCGTTGATCAAGTGCAGGAAAACACCAGTCATCACACATAGTGGGAACGGGTCCTAAAAGAAACCTGGCAAGATTATATATTTGGATCTGTAGTTTTTGGACATTAGGGCATTCCCACCAGGGAGAGGTACGGCCCATAAGGCACAGGGGAGAGGCAGTCGGAGTTTATAGCATAGCATGAGGACTTTATAAGAGTTTTCCAAAGCTACATTATTAGTGAAGCTCTTGGTAGAGCCGATTTGTATCCCAGTCGTTCCAATCCAACATGTCGTTCAGAATCCTTTGTGAATCCGGAATGTCGCTCGGGTTGGAGCAGGAAGGGCCGCTTTTATTAATTTGCAGCAGCTGAGTATTAATTTAGGCCGTCTGGCGTGAAAGTGACGGTACTGTGCCCACTAATCACACCGCCATTGGCGTCACAGAACCTTACACCAGCTCTATGTGAGACCTTTGTCAGCTGTTCCCGGGTGTTCAGCGCGATGAGCGTGTTCTCTTCCTAGGTGTTGATTAATGTGGATTAGTAAGAGGTCTTAATGAGCTGGTGATTGATCGGGTCCACCGGGAGGATTTGGCGATGAAACACAAGTGGGGTTATTCAGAACAGCAGTGTAAGCATTCAGTGACACATTCTCAGATGTCAGTTGTGTGCGGCTGCCTCAGCCGGGAGACGACTTCTTTTTGGTTACTGGGCTTTGTATAGAGTGCTGGCCACGGTGAAGCTGCCTAGCTGCTCACTTAAAGCAACCCAGACGCTATAGAAAGAATTGCCAGGAACAGTACTTACCTTTGCCTCTGCTCTGCACCGTTCCTGAGAAATCGTCTGCTGAAGTCTGAAGGGGAACCGACACTTCCTGGAGGGTCAATCTCTCAGCCCTCCCTCTGATTTCCACTCATTATAGGATACAGTGGTCTTGTGAAGGTCCACAGGAAGAACCGGCACCAGAAGTGTCCGTTTCCCTGCAGACCTCAAGGGATGACATCTCAAGATCGAAGAGTCAAAGGCAGGAGAGGATCTCTTTAAAAGAAATGTCAACTGTAGTATGTATGCCACCATTGCTTACCACCTCCTGAAAATGCCTGGGTGTCCTTCCTGAGAGGAGAGAAATATCAGAGCTTCCGTCGGTGACTTGGTTTTTAAAGGTGCAGGCTGCAGGACTATCGTGCTGGTGTAACCAACTAGTGAGTCATTGCCATGAAACAAGCATGCAGCCAACTTCTGCCCTGCCTTCCTGTTCCAGGGCAGCAGCTCACTATGTAGGGATGCCCTGCAATAGGTCCAAAAGCCCTGCAATAGGTCCAAAAGCCCTGCAATAGGTCCAAAAGCCTGTAATAGCAGTTCCCACGTTTGTATTATTATTATTTATTATTATTATTATTACATAGTATTTATATGGCGCCAACAGTTTGCGCAGCGCTTTACAATATAAGGAAGACATTACAATCGTAAGACAAGATGGTAAGGAGGGCCCTGCCCCTGAGGGCTTACAATCTAAAAGGGAGGGGCCAGTGATACATGAGGAGGTAGCTGTGTGGGGATGAATTATTTGAGAATGTGTATCCTCATGACTTCACTTTAACGGTGCCAGAGCTCCCAAACCATCGGCCTTCTGCAGTACATATCCTGATATGTGAAGTATGGTAATGTTAGCTGGACAGCAAAGCTTAGACTTTTTTGCTTTTTGAAACTACATAATGAAGTGTTATGGGTGGTCCATCCTCAGGGGTAAGAGCCAGGAAAATGTTTTGCAGTGTCGGGGAAATTGCAGTAATGGAGATTTGATCTCTGCGTCTCCCATGTGTGAGGATGTGCCCAGGTCCATCAGAACAAAGCAAGGAATACTAATTATTGTAACCAACAAGATAGATCAGAACCCGGAATCATTAACATGTACACAATGTTCATCATAGAATGCAACTTCAGAAAGAATGATTGTCTCATCCTGTTTGGCCAACCTGCAGCCATCATTGTATTTCCCTCCCGGCATGGATAGCTCATGTTAACTATGACCAACAGTTATTTCAGGGTATGACCTCATTGTTATCTTTAAGGGACTCTCAAGAAAAAAAAAACCAAATCTGCTGCCAGATTAAGTCTTAGGGTATCTGATTTGTTTTCCCAAAAATATATATAATATGCATTGCGCTCTATCTTTTTGCTGCGCCACAACTAGACCAGGTGCATTTCTCATAAGGAATTAGTGATTCGCATTGTGAGTGTCAGGATGAGGTATGTAGATCCCTACGGTTCCCCACTCACGTACCCCATGAGTAAGCCCATATTGCAGGTGAAACGTGCCAATAACGTTTGTTGTGGCTCAGCAAAATCAGTGCAGTGTGCGACCCGAGCTTTCATGTGCCCAATGGGAAGCAGAACACCCATTACCCAGTCGCTGTTCAGTCACCTGGAACGGTGTCCTTTGTATTGGGGATATTGCAGCACGCTGTAGAGAAGGACCCTTGCCCTCTGTGGGAAGCAACAATCTCTCTGCAGAGGTTTTGACTCTCCAATTAGCAGGGAGCATGAGCTTTCCTGATTGCAAAGGTCCTCCTCTGCAGCATGCTGGCATGTCACATGCTTTTCTACTCAGGCTATGGCTGTCCGCTCCATGAGCCAGGCATATGGCTCATGGCGCCGTCCTTCTGGAGAGGAAACCAGATGAAGGCATTGTTGGGGGGGAGTACTGAGATCTCTGTGAGAAGTAGGAAGTGTTACACGGACTCAGCAGGATGTTCCAGAGCGGTAGCTGCTGGAACGCACAGCGATCCCTCACAAAACTTCCCCCTGCGTTCTGGGGCTGGAGGGGGCGTGGCGTTGCATTGAATTCAATGGCACCGCTTCCACATCCCCCCCTCCCCGCCCGCAGTGTGATTGGACGCGTGGCAAAACTTTGCTGTGTTCCGTTCCACTGCAAATGCAAAAAAATAGAGCTTGCGTTTGCAGTGGAACGGAACGCAGGCAAAGTTTTGCCACGCGTCCAATCACACTGCGGGCGGGGAGGGGGGGATGTGGAAGCGGTGCCATTGAATTCAATGCATCGCCATGCCCCCTCCATCCCCAGAACGCAGGGGAAAGTTTTTTGAGGGATTGCATTCGGTGTGAACAAGCCCTTCGAGCCGTTTTCTGATTGTGTTTTCTGTGGCAACATTTAAAGCACATTCACACAATGTATCGGCGTGTTAAGACTCCTCTGTATACGCTATATTAACCCTATCAGTCCCAGCTGTATGACAGTGATCAGAATATACATTGTGAGGAAAGGTCAGCAGCTTCCAGGGACAGTGTATGTGATGCCGGAGACTCGGCATTGTCCGAGAACGTCCTGGAGCTTTGCATGGGAAGTCCGACCAAAGCTGCCATCGCCTGTACCTTCCACTTCCGTTCCCTGCATCCTTTTTCTGTTATCTATTCGTGTATGGACTCTGCTCCTCTGTGCCTGTCGCCATCCTGCTTTCCTCTTGCTTGCTGTGTACATATTCACCTTTTTGTGCAAACGCCATGTGAGCCCAGCTTGAACAATGGCGGAGACCGTATAAAAATGGAGGAAGGGCAGACTGGCTTTGTTGTTGCCCATTGCAGCCGATCTGATTAACACCGCTAAGTCTCCCAAAACAGTCATGAACAGCCAGTGCCACATCCTGGGGCCACATTCCTGGTTCAAAGTGGGATATGGGGACCCAGTTACCTTTTGAGGTGGACCTCCCTAGCATTCTGATCCATGGTTGGCTGCCATACTGCTTTCTCTGTGACGGCAACATAGAAGCTCAACATTCCTGGTTCAGAGTGGGATATGGGGACCCGTTTACCTTTGAGGTGGACCTCCCTATTATATATTTATTACAGGTATTTATATAGCGCCAACAATATACACAACGCTTTACATACTGCACATTCACATCAGTCCCTGCCCTCAAGGAGCTTACAATCTAAGGTCCCTATCTCACATACGAGGGCCAATTTTAGACAGGAGCCAATTAGGCTACCAGCATGTCTTTGGAGTGTGGGAGGAAACTGTAGTACCCGGAGGAAACCCACGCAAGCAGAGGGAGAACATGCAAACTCCTTGTAGATGGTGCCCTGGCCGGGATTCGAACCGGGGACCCCCAGTGCTGCAAGGCAGAGATGCTAACCACTACCATTCTCATTCCACGATTGGCGGCCATACTGCTTTCTCTGTGATTGCAACATAGATCAGGGCTGCGGAGCTCCGGCTTCTGCACATTCTCTCCCAGGCAGAACTCGTACTGAGGTACGGTGTTTCAGTTAGGAGAGATGGGGGGGGGGCGACTGGACTTCAAACTGCATTAAATTACCTCATACAGCGCCCAACCGTCCTCGCTCTAAGTAGAGCTTGCCCATATTCTCGCATCTACCTAGAGCGAGGACGGCTGGATGCTGTATGAGGTAATTTAATGCAGTTTGAAGTCCAGTCGTCCTCCCCCAACCCCCCCATCTCTCCTAACTGAAACACCGTACCTCAGTACGAGTTCTGCCTGGGAGAGAATGTGCAGAAGCCGGAGCTCTGCAGGTCTGATCCAGTGATCACCATTGCAATGCTTTCTAGGCTTGAATGCCAGTATTAAAGAAATGCATATTTTTATATGTTTGAGGCTAATGGTATTAGCCGCATTTGTGGGAGGAATCGGAGTGGCTCGGGGCTAATTCAGGAGGGGAGGACTCACTGCAGCGATCTACCGGCATACCCTCCCTCCCTTCCCCTTTTTTCTGGCAAACATTTCATGAGTATGCCCCCTTATGTGGCATACTGACCTTTAAGATCATGGCACACCTCAGGTTGTATTCGGTTGACGAGGCTGGTATCATTCGGGTTTATGGCGGGCGCGTTGGGGGTTACGGGTCGGGGTACACGAGACTCCGAACACAAATATTATTAATGATGCATTTCTTTAGTTTTTGCACAAGGTGAACTTATCCTTTAAATGATGGTTATGTCTCAGCCTGGGTGAAGCTGAAACATGCCATCCAGTCCCCCCCCCCCATTTGTACAGTGGGTGCCTTGATATATAATAAAGGATCTTTCTTGGCTGGACAACCATGGAGTGCTGTACCAGGAGAGGTGTTGCCAAGCACCCAACAGGCTTGCTTGAATAATGGGGCGGGGAATGGTTGAGCAGTGCTACATAATGGTCTCCACAACTCTATTTACTGGCGTTAGTATTGAGGGACATGATCTGTCTATGAGTCTGTGCGACACAATGAGCCACAGTTGCCCCGTAAGGAGGTGGCAGGGGGTTGTTTGGCCTTCCCGTAGACTTAGATTGCTGGAGTTTGTGAGAAGTTGATCTTCAATCACTTGTGGCTTCATAGCCATGTTCCTTGTATTATACTGGATCAAATATCTGTATGGCTACTCCTGGAGGAACCGTCCATGCTCCCCTTCCTCCATGTTTATAGTGTCTCCTCTAAGGAGTAGGAGCAGAAAAGGGGGGACCATCTTCTCATGTATGGGTCCACCTGCCTGTTGGCCAACCATAGGGAGCACGATTGGTTTACGTGGGCAGTACAGTCCTTCCTCAGACATTCTGATCAGTTGAGGCCGGCATATATTGTATTTCAGGAATTTAAAGATTTTCACACCAATGGTAAAGGTGATCAGCCATCTCGAGAGTTTGCAGCTTATCCCAAATGCTCAGGCCCGCCAAGGGAGCAAGCGCTGCAAAACTGGCTCTGTTGTCCTCCTTACCGCATTCCATCTCTGATGTCTGATTTTGTGCGGGATGGTCAGGGTCAAAAGCATCTTTCTTTTTGATTTTGTTCGTTCTGTTTTTGGGTTCTTCAAGTCTCATGATTTTGTTTACTTTGACCAGTTTCGAGTTGATTCATGTCTTCTTTCCTCACCTCCTTCCTCCCGTCCCTCCTCCTCCTCCGATCCTAGCACCCCACCCCCACCCACCTCCCCCTGTGATCTCTTTCTGTATCACATGACTTATATGATATTAAGTTGCTGTTTGTATAATTTTTCTCTTAAGTTACATCTTTATTATATTTTTAGGACCCAGGAACCATCCTGATATTGTTGATTCATTTATGCAACTCCTGGCACAGGTGTGTTTTGAGTTTCATTCACTTTTCTTTCTCTCTCTCTTCCTCCTTTCGATTTCCTTTTTCTTCCTTTTATTTGATTCAATTTATCTTTCTGTTTTCTCCCCCGTTTCTTGCTATGATTTTCTTTTCAGTTCCGTAGCTTTTTCTCCATCAAGTTTTGCACCAGATCTTTCTTTGAGATGGCCTCTCGAGAACAAAAAAATTCACAAAGTTTGATGGGTTGTGTGTGTCTAGAGAAAAAAGGGACGAGAGGCTTTAGTAGCTACCTTCCAGGACAGGTCATTGCTTTCAAGCCAGGGTCTAACCAAGCATTTTCTTGCAGCGAGTGTAACACAGCGGGGGGTGGCCGGGAACATTGTGACTTCCGGTTGATGAAGATGGAAGCCCCTCGTGTCATTGTTAATCCTCTTCTTTCAGAATTGCATTCTATGTCTTATTTCAGTCACTACGTATGACGTATGTTACACAGAGTTGGCCCGTGTATGCTCATTGCGTAGATGTAGAAGTTTTTTGTATAATGACAAAGGTGCTCTGGGAGACGGGAGGACTTAAAGGGTCAGTCCACCCAAAAATGGTATTTTATTATTTCAATATTTACTGGAAAATTCAATTCACTTCATTGTGGACTCTGTTGGTGAGATCTCTATGCTGATTTCCTGGATGTGACCATTATGTGGGGGCTCCCCATCGTTTTATGTTCTGGAGAATGCACCCAGGAGGCTTGGAAACACCTCAAGGTGGCTTCCCACCCAAAATGTGGGGAAAAAAATGTGGGTGCTCCCACCCAAAATGTTCAGGTACATCGGAAACCAAGCATGGCAAGAAGATCATTCCATTACAAGTTCAGGTCTGGCCCCCTTTTGAGGATACTGGATGGGCACCTCCAACTTGGCAAAGATCCCACCATTGATGTCTCCCAGAGATTTTGGAAGCCATCGGGGTCTCACCGTTCCACGTTTTACCTGCAACTAAAATGTCACTTTTGGATGGAATGGCCGTTGAAGTCCGACACTGATCTCTGTTTAGGATGTGTAGTCATTGTAATGCAACTGAAAATTCCATGCTCGGTCAGCAGGGAGAGGGAACTTCATGGCTGATCTGCTGAGTTCGGTACTAGTGCTTCTTTATTTTGCAGTATGATTATGAGAGTTATAAATGATAATGATGATTGATGCCCAACCTCAACAGATCCTGCTAGAGTAACACCCTCCCCCATACAGACTCCAGCGTGGTGATCACCTTTGGACAGAATAAAATGTCCACTGGAACTCCTTTTTAATAAGGACAGCAATGTATCCTAGCAGTGGTGGTCCTTTGTGAATGTCACTCCCTACGCTGACCTCAAGTCACGCTGCTCGTCTACATCTCTACAGTTCAATAAACGGCCACAATGTAGCTGGATATGAACATCATTTGTTCTATGCTGTGTATGGAGACGGTATGGCCTCACTCCACCGGAAGAAACTGATGTTGTTATACAATTAAATAGCTCTGACATATACCGCATTGCTGTACAGAGGACACTGAGCCAATCACATCAGTCTCTGTACAGAGGAGCTTACACTCTAATGTCCCCCCACAGTCACATCAGCCTCTGTACAGAGGAGCTTACACTTGTTTCCAGCATGGTCATACACACATATATACAGTGGAGCTAGTTTGAGTAGCAGCTGATTGACCTACCTTGAGGAAATGCACACAGGCCCAGGGACAGCAGACTCCATGCAGCTCAGCACTGCCCCGGCACTAGGCATGCACCCACCTATGCTGTCACTTTACTGCATCTTAATTACACAAGAAAGAAAAAAACATGTTGGTGAGCTTGTAAAGGGAAGGAATGAGCGTATTTGCAATTGAAGTGCCACACTGTGATATTCTAATCCAAATACAAGTTTATTCCAATGAAACGTGTTGAATTTTGCAAATGAAACATGTTTCGGGTGCTGCACCTTCATCAGGGCTTGGGGACAAATGTAGATTCAACGATCAATCTCTAGCTGGATGTTGTTAAAGTAAATGTGCACCGTCAGCCATTCAGGACTGCATGAGCCAGCTGGCAGTGAATGCTGTGCAAACGTATCCTAAGGCCCCTTTCACATGGGCTGATCTGTGCACGTGTGTCCATTGACATCAGATTACGTCCAATCCAGCACGATCAGGTCCGTTGAAACGGAAAACACTGTTGTGTTTGCTTTTCCGAACCTGGCCGAAGTCCGGGGGGGGGGAACGCCTGTGCGTTTAGACCCAGTTGCCCATAGACTAGCATTGGGCATCCGATTGGGTCCGCCTGAAAAACCGACAGGCGGACTCGATCGGACCGCCCATGTTAAAGGGGCCTTAAAACATAAGTATAGATTGATTATTGAGTCCACATACACTGTTTGTTTCATTTTTACAAAGCTCTGATGAAGGGGCGGAGCTACAGCCCCCCGCCCCCAATGTTGGCATTGCAAACCATTTATCATTGGAATAAGCTTGTATTTGCACTTGAATTCTGCAATGTGGCCCTCTAATTCTAAATCCGCTCCTCTAAACTTGCTAGAGGACACAGAAGTGACGGAATATAGTCCCTTGGCCCGGGAGAGAAGGAATCATTCTCCTTCGGGGTGTCGGATAGTTATGAAGATCTGACGGAGGATTTGGTACTTTCCCAGCTCCACTCAGAATGGAGAAATACGTCATGTTTGGAGTAAATTATATACCCGGATGTAACATTGTTGTATAATGTAGCCATGCTTTGTGTATAATTATATTGAGGCAGCCGCCAGCTCCTGGTATAAACATGAATGTCTTCCATGTGCCGCATAGTATGGCCTACACCTAGTCATGTCAGGTTGCCATTTTGTGCACAGCGGTGGTGTTGTTGGCACATCGTGCTTTAGTCCCGCTCATAAAAAGGACGCACAGTGTTCAGGAGATGCCGGTCTCCTCTGGTTTATTACTGCCGGTCACTGAATGCTCCGGGGTGCACTGAAGGACGGGTCTCCCCATTTTATTTTCCTCCGTCGGAGAGACCTGGCAGCCATGCTGCACTCTGGACAGGTAAGTTGATGAAGGGTGACGCCTGAGACTGCGTGAAAAGTGTGTTTATCTCTGTGTCTGTTGCACTTTACAGGCCCTGAAGCGCAAACCATGCCTCTTCCTGTCCGCTGAGCTGGATGTAAAAGCCGTGTTCCAGTGTGGTGGGTGACCGTTTATATAAGTCGTAGCACTGCTGTGTCATTAGACTTTTATATAGATTATTGAGGATCTCTTTAAAGCTGAAGTGTAATGTATGCAATTAATAGCTTCCTTTTGTTCCCACCCACCCCAATTCAACATGGAATTCAATTTTTGCACCGATACCGAGTATTTGGGCGAAATATTCTGAAACTTACCCCCGATAACCGGAACTTCCGGTCAGAGGGAGATTTTCTCTGACCGGCAGTGCTGTGAGGGAACATGGAGCCCGGCTTCCCTGCCAATCAGGAATCCAGGTGGCGGGTCATCACTAGCTGCCTGGCAAGGCGGCTCCATACTGTTTGGCTGGCTCAATACTGATTGGCCGGGAAGACGGCTTCCCAGCCAATCAGCATGGAGCCGGGCCGAACAGCATGGAGCAGGTAATGACCCGCCTCCCGGTTTCCTGATTGTTTGGGAAGCCGGCTCCATACTGTTTTACTAGCTCAATGCTGACTGGCTGGGAAGCCGGGTAATGACTCGCCTCCCGGCATCCTGATTAGCCAGGAAGCCGGCTCCATGCTGTTTGGCCTGCTGGATGCATACAGCATGGAGCCAGCTTCCTCGGCTATAAAGAAGCCGGGGGGGGGGGGGGGGGGGGGGTCTTTACCCCCCCCCCC